GAAGGATGTAAAAATGACAAAAAAGCATTTTTTTTTATCGCGCTACGCCCTGCAACATATATCAAGACTGCGCCTCTTGTAACTGAAATTTTGGTTTTACCGAGTGGAAAGTAAGAAAGGCACCTAAATATTTCTGTCTTGGTTTTTTTCCGATGTTGGTTTGCTGTCTCGATGTATATATTTCATATATTCTTTTTATTCGTATACAAAAGATGTCATGTCAAGTAAGAATTTTGATATTAAAATTGTTCTATCCTTGGAAATATTTCGAAAATCAGCATATAAATACTTTTCACGTTTTTTGACAAAATGAAATGATAAGAATTGTGGTGCGTGTACCGACAGGGTTTAAGAGATTACTCATATCCTCAATTTTAACATTTTGCTAAAACAGTCAAGGTAAATGATTTATTTAGCACCTATCGCTATTTTGTATACCGAATAGAAAATTTAAATTTTTGTAAAATGCATCAGATATTTAACAATCGTAAACTTTTAAAGTGCTGAATTGACAATGAAACTGACATCTGTTGAGTCACTTCAAACGTATTGTTTAAAAACCAAAACATAATTAGATTCAGGATTTTACAAAAAAAAACTTATTTAAGTTCAGTTTCGAAGTTTAGGGTTATCTTATTTTAGAACAAAACCACTGAATACTTTTGGGGAGTCTTTTCTATTCTTTCTCTAATTATAGTGTAATTTTGAAATGAAATTATGTGTAACTTTCTCTTAAATACTGTCAATTTCATTTAACGATTGTTTATTTCGATCAGAACCATTGTCAATCTCACTATTCTAAGTGCAAGTTTTTGAAAGTAATTATTTATGACAAAAGCTGAACGAAGGATGAACACAATATGATATGGTAGCGAGTATAATTATATATCTTCTTTTTCAAATTTTAATTTTCCCAACAAGACTTTGTAATTACCTGTTGCTCAGTTTGTCAAAAATAACAAAACATAAATAATTATACCAAACATTAAAAGAACAAGCTTTGTCATATTTCAAAATGTATTCGACCCAATATTCAACTGACTTATATAAATTCTTTTTAGCAGTGTTTTTTTTTTTTACACTTTTTGTTAAAGAAATTTAAATTATTGTATTAATCAAAAGAATCTCATGCAAAGCCAATTCAACAATTTTAAATTCAGTTTAAATTTCTGCAGAATTTGCACTTGATAATTATTTACAAAAACATGTTGCAAGTAGCCTTCAACTGCATGGAATGTGACAATAATGTTTATATACTTGTAATACCGATATTATTTTAATTCTCATTTGAATTAAAGAAAGACAGATTTTCTTTTCTTTAAAATGCATGTCTATTTCATTTTGTTTATAATATACATACATGCGATTTTTGTTTTCTGCTACACCTGATCATTTTTGCAAAAATAAAACTAACAATATAAGGACCAGTCAGATATATATAGAAACGGAGGCGTGAGGTATACATCCTGAATGAGAAAACAATCGTGCTACAAAAAAAATAACCAAAGAGACACCAGGGAGCAGCAAATTGTAGTGTTCTTGATGGAAAAGTGTCCATACAATATATGTCACGCTGTTAAGGTGGTACCAAACACCTTGACTAAAATTAATTTGGCTCGTTTAATTTTCATAAAATTTTGACAAAATATTTACTTTGACCCTTTGACAAAAATATAAAAATTTCATAAAAACTTGAACCACACACTTAATCGGAAAAATTTCATTGGATATATAGCACTTTGACAAACACTAATTTTGATCATTGGGAAGCTTAATATTTCCTTAACAATAGAACGTGATTAAAACGTTCAGCTGATTTTTACAGAGTTATCTCCCTGTAATGTTATTTACCACCTTAATTGTCATTAGATTATAATAGTTGTGCGACGAAATAGTATCTTATACTGTTAAAAAATCATTGTTATTTTTTATGTACATGTAACAGGTTTTATCCTCGAATGTGCATGGTGATATTGCACTTTTATGTTTTGTGTAAATAACAAAATCATGTTTTAATTCTGTTGTTTTATAATTGTATATAACAGTCTCTCATAGTTCTTTTAAGAATGGCACATGCATTCTAAATTTTTATATTGTGTACTTGATATTATAATGTGTTTATACTTGTATGTATGTGGTGAGACTTTAATAAACTATTGAATCTGAATCTGTAAAGAAATCAAATAGAAACTATAAAGATCTGCCATCAACACAAAATTTTCAAAATTATCAAACTAAAAACATTTAGTTATGACAACAAACATTGCATACAGTAACACTACGTTTAAAAATATCGTAGAAAGTCTCATTAAAGACGGACAATCTAGACTGTAATCTTGGTAACTTGTTCCCATGAAAAAGATTGAACTAGTTATTAATGTCTGATTCAAACGATTGACATACATTTTATGAAACTGAGCACAATAAAACACCTGTCACTTAACTGCTGATAACAAAATATCGTCCAATATTACCATGGTAACGAGATTTTCCAAAAGTTCAACCATGCATACAAGATGATGATCTTTAATTGGTCAATGCTATTCTATGCCCTTTACCGAAACCAATTCGTAGAATCACGGTTTGCCTAAAAAAAAGTTATAGCCCTTTGCTGGAATATTTTAATCTTACAAGAAAGATAATTCCCACTTTTAATAAAAGATCCACCTTCACTTGTGAGAGAGAGAGAGAGAAATGTTAAGTATGATGAAGCAAATTTTTGAATAAATCATAAATGCAACGGTTCGCCCTCTCTGAATGCATGGTACAGAGAGAGAGAGAGAGAGAGAGAGAGAGAGAGAGAGAGAGAGAGAGAGAGAGAGAGAGAGAGAGAGAGAGAAATGTTAAGTATGATGAAGCAAATTTTTGAATAAATCATAAATGCAACGGTTCGCCCTCTCTGAATGGTACATAACTTCTGTACATTTACTTTCATGATAATTAGGTATAAAACTATATTAATATTGATAAAGTTTATGGCGCATTAAATTTATAAAATCGTAAGATTTTCCCAAGAAACTGTAACATTTAGTTATCTATTGACATTATCATACGACGGTAAAGTTCTTCAGATCTTTTAACTGACGTTTTTTTCCTGATTAAAATGTGTACATGCATTTGTCAATTCGGGGCATTTTATAGCTTTCTATGTGGTATGGGTTTTGCTTATAGCTAAATACCGTGCGGTTACCTCTAGTTGTGAACTCCTACGTCGGAGAGTTGTCCCATTGGCAACCATAGCACATCTTCTTATTTTTATATCAACAAAGAAATGATTAAAAAAACTATTATTTAAAATAAACTGTTAAACATTATCTTAATATTTTGTAATATATTGACTTGAGATCCCCCCCCCCCCCCCAACATTAACCTAAAATATAGTGCATTTGAATACGTTCTATTCAGATGCAAGCGAATATCTTTTTTTTTTTATTTTGTTGTTTGTTTGTTTGAAGTTTTGTGTTTTCGTCTGAATACAATTCCTTGAATCAAGTAATTAAGGCAACGAAACAATTCAGCGTTTTTGTGGGTGGGTTACTGGGGGGAAAATGGTGGGGTGAAATCTCAAGTCATTTTTCAACTTAATAATAAAAAAAAACTATTTTTCAATGACATACAGGAACAAGAACAAAAAAGTTGTTAATAATTTTTATTCTAAAACTACATTTCAATAGAAATTTCCTGCCAAGGGAGACAATTTATTTTTTTCAAGAAATTAATTTAACAATTTATTTATATATAAACCCATTTCATTCAAGGAAACAAACATTTATGGGATTTAATGAAAACTCCTGCAAGCAACCCCGAATTCTTTAGTATTCTAAAATTTTAAAGAACCAAATATTTATAATAATTTTTGTCATTTATTTCATTTTACTTTTTTTTAAATTTAGTTACAATATATCTTCACCTCATTAATGCACAAATGTGCATTTCGACTGAAAAAATAGAAGTAAACATTTTTTGTATGATAATAGTTTTACACTGATGAATCCTTTAAGGTAAAAATGTTGATTTCTTTAAGATAATAGTACCATAATGCAAACGTGCCAGTTGTTATCTTTATTTTTTTTTGTGTCCTATTCTTGTTTTTTCTTAAGATTGCTCATCGACGTACACAGTTACTTTTAGTATTTTAGTGTTTAGTGTTTAGTATTTAAATCAATGAAAATGCACCTGATGTAGTACTTTCAAAAAATTGTACGATGGTAGTACCATTACATTTACAGGATTAGTTATACAGATTTGAAGTACCTGCTTGCTATTATTGTATAGTACTACAAAAAAATGGTACTATTCATTAAACATATAAAGCTGGTAATTGCAAGTTGTAGTACAATTAAACTCAGTACAGCTATTGCAAAGTACTGAAACATAACTTGCCCTTTCAGGGACATTTTAAAAACGTTAAAATAAAAATAAAAAAAGCAGAGGTGCAAAAGTGCGTGTAGCTGTGTAAGATTCATTCGGATTTCGACAGTCTGTTTTCACAAGACATAAAGTGCAGCAAATTAGATTCGGTTTCTATAGTAATATATACTGTAATTATTCAAGATGAAAATTTACATATTAAAGAAAACAGCAAATTACTAGACAGGTGTATCACAAGATTCAAAATTCGATTTTTTATGCACATATAGGTCAACTCATTACATTCGGTTCAAGTAAAACAGTACTCATTTAAGGTGAAAATCTCCATATCTAAGAAAACATGCAGAAAATAACTCGACATGTGTATCATTATGTTTCGTGCAACGAGAACGCATTTATTTTCTAAATGTCTAGAATGAAATATAGATTTCCTGTATACATTTCTGCTCTTTTTGTCTTTCTATTATATCAAGATTAAAGTTATGCAAATCTGCATGCAAAGCAACCTACACGATTTCCCTGACACTTCAATTAGTGATGCTGTGAATCCATTAATGACCCTGATGTTCAGATCGATTTTTTGGTAGATAAAATAAGAAATATATTGATAAAACTTTACTACAGCTTACCTGCACCAAAAAATAACTATAGTCTTTCAATCTTCTCGTCGTGAAAGTTAAAAGCGAAATGAATTCTAAATCTAACAAAAAACCCAAGATACACATCGATCACACAAATAACTGTTGTTTGTCAATTCAAAAATATTGTCCAATTTGTAACACACTTTGTTAAAGGGAAGGTAATTGTATAGTAAAAAGTAAAATATTGTCCAATTATTGTGATCAGAGATGTGCATCAATGAGATCTTACCGATAGCATCAGGATAATGGCTTTTTACAACTCATGAAGATAGACTATTAACAAATATTACCTGTCAAGTTGTTACGTCGTTTAGTCGTATATTCGAGTTTGAGTTTGAGAGTTTGAGAGAGAGAGAGAGAGAAGGGGTGGGGGATAGTAACAAAAAAGTATGACAAAGCAGATTTGTGAATAAATCATAACAACCACAAAAGCCTTATATTACAACAAAAGACTACCTGTATATACCAATGAGGAGAATGTACAATTTATAACGCTAATTGTAAAGGAAAAAAGTTTTTGATTTAGAATGCAACAAAGACGTGCAACTTTAATTTTTTAAAATGTCATATAAATAAGAAAGATGTGGCATGCACATTTTTAAAATTTCGTCCCATTTTACAGCGACTGCAAGCCGTATAACTTCTTGATACATATGAAGAGCATAGGAGTATATTTAATGAGCAATAACTTGCATTACTACTTGTTTAAAAAAAATCATACGATTCTTGTATTGAAATGAATGTGTTTTAAATGTTTCATCTTTAATTATGTAGCGTTTTGTACTGTTTGCAAACTCAAAATGAAAACGGGCGAACACCGGGAGCGTTTTAAATATTAAATTAGATAACTTATTTTATCTAAAATGTATCCATTTAATAAGAAAACTTTTTATATCCTTTTAATATTCATAAATACGTCTAATTGGACTATGATTCTGTGTAATCTTGTCATTAAACATTAAGTCAACAGTTACTTCAAGTGACTCAGCAGATATATAAGTATCCTTATTATTGATAAAAAGGAAAAATCAAATGATAAAACGTTCTCAAATGGATCTATGTGGTTTTTGTGACAAATATTGATAGAATATTTACTTTTGCAAGCTCGTCTTTATTTATTTAAATCTGCTGAGAATCTCTTCACGTTCAATTTCACATGATAGAAATAGAAAGTATCGTTTAAAATCTTTTCAAAGAAAGCATTTCTTACTGCATATTAAATAAATTCACTGCAAAGTAATATGCAATTCTTATACTTCGCTAAATAAATACCTGTCAACTTTTGTGATCTATGTAAATTGTGGGGTTTTTTTTTCTTTTTATTTCTTTTCTTCCATCTTCGTCATACGGTAAATATTAAGGAAAATTGTATTATTCAAGCCGTTATGATTTATTTGAGTGAGATATCCCAATGGCGCATCCAGATTTAATTGAATTTTTTGATTTTCGAAAAGTTTTTATCGACGACTTTATGCTTTAAAATGATATATTTTCCATTCCATTGGGGACGCAGAGGGGGGCGTACACCCTCCCCATGAATCCGCTGAGTGGAGAACAGCAGAAACGTATACCTCTTTATATGATTAAAATCAAAGTCAAAATTTTGCGATGTGGATAGATGGCAGCGCCAGAAACTGTTTACTTTGGAAGCTACACTTAATACAAGTCCTTATTAACAAGCATTGTCCTGTTTTTTTTAATTATCTATAAAAAGGTTTCATCTGAAATATACATTGCAATGGAATATGATGTTACTTTCCACATTAAACGAGAGAAATCCATTAAAAATAAATAAGAACTTAATATGTGGTATGAATGCCAATGAGACAACTCTCCATCCAAGTCACAATGTATAAATATAGTTAACAATTATAGGTCAAAGTACAAACTTCAACACGGAGCCTTGGCTCACATCGAACAGCAAGCTATAAAGGGCCCAAAATGACTAGTGTAAAACAATTCAAACAGGTAAACCAACGGTCTAATCTATATAAAAAACAAGATAAGAGAAACACTTATGAACCACACCAACAAACGACAACCAATGAACAACAGGCTCCTGACTTAGGAAAGGTGCATAAAAATGCAGCGGGTTTAAACGTTTAAACAGGCTTGTTATGTTGCCTTTTTATTTGGATTTAAAAAATTCAAAATTATTAACAAAGAATTTTAATATCTCTATGAAACATCCATTTTCAAAGTGTCGAGTCCTGAGAGTCTACTTATTTTTATACAACTAAACTTTCGAGGGCATAATTGTATCATAGGATAAGTCATATTTATATTTTTATATAATTATTTTATCAATTAAACAAACAATAGAAACCGATCTGGTAACTATTGTTTTTACCAGTTCGGTTTCTCTTTTTCTTTGTTTTATCAGCAGCATCGATATATCATTGTAGCCATCATGAAAGAGTTTAATTTGAAAGGGAGATACTTTTTTGTCACCAGGATTCCCAATAATTTGAAAGCGAAGAGCTGGATGCAATTAGTCAGAGATTGCTCTGACCTCTGATTGTCCTTAGGGCCTGAAATTCAGTGGTTGTCGTTTGTTGCTATATATATCATATTTGTTTTTCGTTGATCATTTTGTACATAAATCAGGCCGTTCGTTTTCTCGTTTGAATTGTTTTTACATTTGTCATATCGGGGCCTTTTATAGCTGACTATAAGGGTTTAACCCATTGTTGAAGTACGTACGGTGACCCATATAGTTGTTAATTTCTGTGTCATTTGGTCTCTTCTTGAGAGTTGTCTCATTGGCAATCATAACACATCTTCTTGTTTTTATATAGGTGGATCACATGGCCCTATAAAGTTCTAAAAATTTCGTTAAACGTCAGAGCAATCTAAGTTCAAATTATCATTTGTACTATTTTATTCAACATGATAAGGCCAGTTTAAAAAAAAAATGCGTTTCAGGCCTAACATAGCATACATTGATCTCTGTTTCCCCACAAGTTTTAGCATATATGAATATTCAATATTAGAATAAATACTTCCGACTTTCACAATCCCATTTTAATTTATTAGATTTTTAAGATAATGGTGAGCAGGTTGTTAATTCTTCTAAATGCTCACTATATTGGTCAAAATAATATATTTGTCATTTTGTGTAGGCATTTTACAAACACTTGAAAAAATTATTATAAACCAATTAAAACTCAACTGTTCCCATGAATGATTGAAAAAAACCCACCTGTTAATTGTTAGGGTTGAGTATAACAGCATATAATTTGTATTTTAATAGCAAAATATTAATGTAAATATGTCATTCTTGACATTATTGACTTTTCTATGTAGCAGCTTAGAAAAAAATACCAGTATTTACTTCCGAAAATAGGTTTTAAATATTGTTAAAAGAGCAAAAATGAAAGATTAAATTTGTAGCTTTACAATTAATTTATCATAAAAATTGAATAAAAAATCAATAATTCGTAAAACGTTATGTCTTTATTACTTTGTATATAACATTCATCAAACGATATGAAAACGAAATTTCATCAATTAATTTAAATACTTAAAATTAAAAAACTGATGTGTACATTAAAAATAAGCCTTACAAAAAAGTTTTCAGTGATCAAACGGTGCAAATTTTATTATCTCCCCTGCCAAGAAATACTAGCAGTTGGAAATTGAAAATAACTAATCTTTGTTTAAAGTGCAAATTCATATCCTCAAACTAATAGAGAGCAAGCAAATAAAAAGATAAAATGTTGCTAGCAAACGTGAAACAACCTCCCATCAGCACCCTTAATTTAGTGTAGTATTAACCCGTATTAGGTTAACCATGTCTGTCTAACGAGATTAAACGAACAGAACCTTTGAAGATAAAAAAAGGTACAATGACTCAATGCTAACGGTAGCTGCATGGTTAAGTGTAGAACTGTTTGTTTTGTTATGAAAATAACACTTCAAATCTTTCGTGCGTCCACGTGCACGTATATTACAGACCAAAATACTCGTATGTAAAAGACTTTGTGTTACCATAGTAACAGTCCATGTTTTGTAACTTGTATAAATTTTAAAGCGGATTAATATATAAAACGATTGGTTACTAAATAATCTTACATGACAAAAAGAATATATAATCAATGTACAAGATTAATAGTAGTCGTATTGGTGTGAATGGCGGGCTTCAAATTTCTTGAATTTCTGATCAGGGTGAAAACTTAACACCACGCAAGTCTACAGAGCAAGTCACAAAGTGTCATCTGTTAGTCTATAGACATGAATAATTTATCTTAAATGTGGAAAATATTAACAACGAGAGAACAAACGCTAAAAGCTAAATTCAAGAAACAGCTATAGTCCGCGTTTAAAAATGCAATTTAAAGTTCATTTTTTTGATTCGGGAGTTATATTATATAGAGGTCTGGATATAACCTGCCGGAAGCAAATTTCCAAAATCCAAACCATCTCAATAATATGAGATTCCTTTGAGGGTATTAGATTTGTCCATTTATATGCAAAAATTTTAGAACATGCTCTTAATTTATGATTTAACTTGTTCTCGCTTTGGTATGTCTGAAGAATAGCCCTCTTCAATTATTAACATATAAATCTATTTCAGGCACATTCCGGTAGAGAACAGCCAAAAATCATGTTCTTCTTTCGAACAATCTTTAACATACACATATACTGGAAGACAAATGAAAAATATGTAAGCCCTTGATCCTACAGTTTGTCATTGTAAGATTTGTGGGAGAAATAGAAGCAACATTAAAAATTCATAAGCACACCACATGGTATAATTATGATCTCTGACGAAGAAAACTTTCGTAAGAAATATGATTAAAAATGACAAATACGAAACAATTATTTGTCGGTCGTAATTTTCCTTGCACAGCACATGTACGATGGAACCAACTGTTTACCGGATTTTTCTTTTCAATACTGTGACGCACAATCATAGAAACCCTTGTAAATATTGCATTTTGACTGATAAAGTTTAAACATCCATTAATGGAGCCTCCGAAAAAGCCTTGAATTGTTTACAAACAAACTAAAAGTCAACAAACGATTGAAATGCACCTGTGCAAAGTTAATCCATCGCAAACATTTTGCAATAAAAAGTTTTTTAACGAGACTTACAAAG